ATCACTGTTTTCAAAACAAAGAGATGGAGGGAAACATATCCAAGTTGCTACTAGAACCAAATTTCAAACTTCCAGGACCCAGTGAAACTCCTGACACTGGGAACTTGCTTGTAGAGGGGTTTCTGTCCCCTCTAGGGCATCCATGATGCTAGCTCCCCACAGAGATCCTGAGGCTCAGTGAGCAAATAAGGCCCCAGCCTCGTGGAGCTCACAGGGTTTCTCTGGAACCTCCTGCTCAAACCTATTTCACAGGTCTGTTAAGGAGTCAGCAGGAGCACTCACTTACAACCATAGATTTCCATCTGTGTGGTGGTTAAAAAGAGGTAGCCTCTGGGGACACGACACAGGTCTCTTCCTCCATCTAAAGGGAGACTCATCTCACCATGATACCTTCTTCCAGCATCGTGGTCACCTGCCACATGGTTATGCTTCCTGAAACGCTTAGCGATGGATGAACGCACAAATGAGTGAATGGAAAGATGGTGTTTTACTCACTGCTGAGTGTCCAGTGCCAGGACAGTAAACACCTGCTGAATAACCACATACCTTGGGATCTGAAAAATGCTAGGGGGCCCTCCCTAGTGGCACAACAGGTTAAAGCGCCGCATCATGAAGCTCTATGACGCCACTACAGCACGACTTCGATCCCTGTCCAAGTTGCTGACCCACATGGCATGGCAGACCTCTCCTGACCCACCCACTGCTCTCCTCAGCAGTGTACTTTGTCAGTCTGCTTGTTCTGCTCCCCACTCTGTCTCTGGTGAATCATCTCACCCACCACACCTCTAGCCTGTACCCCAGTTCTGTAAGGATAAATATATCTTAAGGGAAAAAAAAAGCTAGGATTTCAGATAGATGATAAGAACTATACAGGGATCACAGGGCACCATGCAGTTCCTACATCACTTACTTCTGCACTTTTTGAGGTTACAGAGCTCTTAAGACCACAAAAGTCAATTGAGGAAGATAAAAATTGCATTCAATATATGTGAACACTCAGACTCCATCCTATGGTGCCCTGGTGGCAACCAAATGATGTCTCTCTTGCTAAATATAGATTACACCCTGGCAAATAAATTAAGCCAAATAATGTTTACGAAAAGCCACAGACATCCCTCCAATCTCAGTTTGCCACCCTGGGACTTTACCCTAGAATGTTGTCTTTAAATTCAGAGCCTTCAGTTTGTATCAAAACAGACTCTATTTCTTCCTGAGCTAGTGTCTGCAGACTCATGTCTGGCAGCAGGATGAGGCCTGTGTTCCTCCACTCTTGCCACGTGTCTGACACAGCAGCTGCACTCAGGACATAACCGAAATGAGCACATCAGATGGCCCTTGCTTCTTCTCTTCCTGGTACTCACACTGGATGGCTCACTTCCTGTCACACACAAGCACACAACACCGTTACTAGACTGTACATAATGTGAGTGTAATACACCTGGTGATTCATGAAAGTGCCTATAAAAGTATTGAGCAGAAATTTCCTGAATATCTTGACAAATGGCCAACAGGATCTTATCACGTGATGTTAATCCTCTCAGGGGTGTGGGAGACTCAAAATTTAAGTTTACTGGGGACCACAGAGAGCTGTAGTTTGTAGACCACTGGGAAACTTTAGCATTGTTGGGGCAGGTACAGGGCAGATTTGGGACAAAAAGGGACGGTCTGGTTGACAATGGTCAGGCCAGAATGAGCCTATGGGTTTCATTTATGATGAATAATGAACACCGTTTCTTACTGTCTACACTTACAGTTCCAGGGTCCCTTCTGTTCAAGACTAGCTCCATTCTGAGTTCCCTTATTTTGATGACTCTGGTTTACCTGGACATTGATTGGCTCTAGCTCCAGATTCTTCTAGATCACCGACCTCACCCTCTGGTGACCCCTTTCTGGAATCAAGACAGTCACAACCTCTTAGTCCTTCAAATCCCTCCTCAAAATATTCACTGTCCAGAAAGAGACATGCATTAACCACCATTTTCCCCCAGAAGTTTTGTCTATCAGTTTGTCTTCATAGTCATAATTCAGAATCTCTCTTCAGCCCTTACTTCTGCTCTCCTAAGGCCACCTCAGGTCCACACCCACAGGCATTATCTGTTTCTAACAGATCAGACAGAGTAAAGACAACTCTCCCATGACATTTTCCAAAGATAAAAACCTTTAACTGCTAATACCACTCATGCCCCGAAAAAGCCAATGTATTTTGTCTTTGCGCCAATTACCTCATTCTCGTTAAGTAAATGAAATTTGAAACCATACAGAGGTTCTAGGGCTGTAAGAGGAGCATTAGCATAAATATTGGCTTGGCAGAACTTCCATTTTTCTTTCACTCACAGAACTGAAATGCTTGCTGGATCTGCCCCCCGTTACCCCTTCCTGCCTCATGTGTTTTCTGAACATCAGCAAAAAAACTAGTTTTGTCATCAGAAAACTGCTCTGGCCTCGCTTTTAAACTTAGCTGCTGGCACCTATAAGAGAACTGATATGGGATAACTACTTTTGACTTTAAGTATTATGTAATAAAATAAAACAGTCAACCACTAAAGAGGGACTGAACCTAAGGTTATCTTCTACGTTAGCAGGGCTGGCAGGTGGCCAGAGCCTCATCTCAATAACTGTAACAAGGGATGTGAAACAATGTTCCTGGCATCTTCAAAGAAACAGGTCACTTCACCATATTTTTATCATCTTCTAACTCCCTCTGCAATCATTCCAACAAAACTGGGCACAAAAACAGGCAGATAACACTGCTGGAGCAAACACACCCCGGCTGAAGACACCAGTGGACTTAAGTCAGTCACTTCTTGTGGGAGGATCTTTATATCGTGACAGCAATTCTTGCCTGTAATCCTGGCTTGACTTCCTCTTCAATCCCAGCTAGTAGCAGGGACTTTAGTCTGCACCTGTTTACAGCGGGATTTAACCAGGGGCCGTGCTACCCATCCATGCCAGCCTTTCAGAACCATGCCCTGCCCCATGGGCACCACTGGCTCTTAGCTACAAATTTCTCATCAATTAAATCTACTGGCCACTAGGTTGAGCAATAGCCATACTATGCCCAAACACAATGCCCAAAAATGACACAAGGTGAGTCACTTGAAGGGAGGCAGGTCCTAACTACTGCCAGGTGGGAAGAAGGGAAAGGCCTCCTCAGCACCCAAGCCCCTGAGAAGCCTGTCCCTACAGATCTGTGCCTTTCCATGTCCATGCTTGGCTGTGCCTTTCTGGAGTGCCGGTCTTTCTTCCCTTCATCCCACGGCTCCCTTGATGGCCCAAGTGGGCCATCATCTCTTTTTTCACACACAGGCCCCTCCTCTGTAATCTCCAGGCTCTAACAGGCCCTGACACCCTTACCACACTGCTGTGGTCTAGCTGCTGGTTCATCCTACCCACCTATTCGAGAACTCATGAGAGGCAGGAATCACCTTTGAAACATTTTATATGTTAAATGCTCCCAAATAAACAGCCCCCCCAATAGCCCAGCCTGTTTCCTATTGACAGAACATTATAACCCCAGCTTTCTCTCTAAAATAGATTCTTCTACGTATAGAAAAGTCCTTGGCTGTGAACACTACATTGATAGCCTGGGGGGAAAAAGTGTTTGCTTTGTTGCAATGGTCTCATTCTCAACGTGAAATGAAAGCTGACAGAGGTCCTTGATTTGACAGACAGCGTTAGCGTCACTCAAGGGCTCCTACCATCGGAAGCAGGAACTCTACAAAAAAGGCCTTCTACAACTCGGTCCTGCCTCACACTCTTTCATTTTCAAACACAGCACACTCTTACGCCAATGACTTATGTCTGGCCCGAGCAGCCAGGCTCAGGCCGTTCATGTGCACCTTCTAGAACATCACCTTCAATTTCCACCTGGTAGCCTGACCTACTGTACCTTCAAGGTTCTTGCCCAAGCCAGCTCAAATGTCACCAGCCAGATATTTGTCACCTCTTCCCCCAGGCTCCCAGGGCACTCTACTCTGGTCTGTTCTGAGTATACACCTAACCATATATCTAGTTCAGAATTATGTCATTTTCTTTACAAGAAAGTGAAACTCCAATAGGCCAAAGGCAGGTCTTTTATTTACCCCACATCTTCATGCAGCATCTGGTCCTAGAAGTTGCCTAACAAAGCATTTGTTCAATAGCTACATGGATCATTATGCTCAAGAAATTATAGTAGCAATAAAGAAAAAATTATGCAGTGCCCTCTTTCTTAAAAGAAAGCTAGGGTATGTGTGCAGAAAAGCAGAGTCGGAGTTCCAAGGACAATTTGGAAATGGTTCCAAAACTGCAGGCCATCTCCAAATACTGTGTGGAGTTAAGCTATAAGAATTCAGAGGAGAGAAAAACCTCCATGGAGGAATGGAGGAATGGGGGGTGGGGGTGGGGGGGATGTTTACACCTCCAGTTGCAGGTCCTCTCCTGAAGGTGGGCAGCATCATGGGAAGTAACACCATCAAAAGGATGGTGGGGTGACCTTTGCCAGAAGGCAGCCTGTGGTGAAGCTCAGGCCAGCACTCAGGGTCTCTGGAGCATTTATTACGCAGAGAGAGCACAGGCGCCATATTACCGTAGGGTCAGAGGGGAGAGGAGGGAGGGAAAGAAAGACCCCACGCTTCACCTTGCTGAGAAGTGTGATACCTTAAATTGTCCTGGAAAGTCCCTTCTTACTGCCCATTCAGGCTTTCACCTCTTCAGAAAAAACTCCTCTCCCCAAGCCCGAAGCCCTCACTCTGAACACAGTGGATGCTTTCCCACCTTCTTGAAGCACTTTATTTACATCTAATGCAACATTAGAGGGGAATGAGTGTCCCTCCCTCCGTGGCACATGTGTCCTTCGTGGCAGGGACACCATCGTGGCATCAGCAGCTTCTAGTTCACAGGATTGGGAAGTAGCAGGTGCTTAGACTATGCCCCATGAATGGACACAAATGTCTTGTATGGCCTTCAGAAAGTGTGCTTCCACCTTTGACCTTCTGTAAAAATAACCCACTGTGATTTACCTCTTTAAGGACCAGCACGCATTTGCCGGGCCCCACAGACTGAGGCAGCTCTGCAATCCTGCCTTTGTTGAGGTAAGGGCCTGAGAAACACCTGTGGTTGATGAAAAGCTGAGGACAGCAGTATTTCCCGTTGACTGTACCTGCAGGGAAGAGCAACACAGCTGATGCTTTAGAAACCAACAACAAAGAAATTGCTTAATCCACTTAGCTGACAAAACTACCCAGAGGAGCATTGCCCCTGACAGTCAGAATATTCTAGAGCCATAATATCTTAGCAATTCTGATTATTTTCTCTATCCTAAAAATGAACTTTTCTGTTCACACACACACAAAATAACAACTAAGATATCACCATGCAGCTTAAAGGAAAAAAAAAAGCAACATAAGCAACACAGCTAAGTCCCCCATTAGTCTTTTCCAGTAACTCCCTCCCGCTCCCCCTCCTCACTAGCCTGAATCTGGAATTTACCATTCCATGCCAGTCTATATACTACATACATCTGCTATACTGCTACATACATCTGCATATGTATATTAACAAGCACTATATGATATTTTGGATATATTAAAAATATTTCCTAAACACAACATTTTATTTGCTCAACATAAAGTCCCTGAGCTTCAAGTTGGCAAATGTATCTGAACCTTCCTTCAGTTTTTAGCTCTGTACATTTCTTCCATTGTATAGATATATCGCATACTGATTTTCCATCCTTGTATTGATGGAAATCTCATTGTTTCTACTTTTAAAATATTACCAGCAATAATACTTAAATTGCTTAATATTTAACAAATTCAACTATGAAGATCTACTTCTGTTTCTGGACAAGAAATTCTTACACATATGTAACGGGGAGGACCACTGCTTGGCCATGGTATCTACAGTTTCTGTTTTACTAGATGAGGCCAAATGGGTTCTCAGAGAAACATCCCACGCTATGCTTCTAGCAGCATCATATTGCCCCACAACCTAGCCAACTCTAGGAACTTGTTTTTCCAAACAATGGACATGAAATGTACTTCACAGGAGCTTGAATCTAACTTTCCTTTCATAGTGCTTTCAAGTTGGAGAGTGAACAGAGCACGTTCTTGGTCTAGTTCTGTCTCAAGCTGATTATGGAAAAAGAATAACTAAAGGTTAACATATATATTAAACATTCTTGATGCCTATAAATGCAGAATAAGTTTCCTTTTCAGCTAAGAAACTCATTTCCTCCTTCCACTGCCATAAGCTAAGTTATGTGAGCAGTAGTGCTTCTGTACAAATACTGCTCTGAATTTGGGAGGCTTATTTTCACAGGACTTCAACTGTGAAGCAACAGGTAGGAGGGAGGAATGTTATCATTTCTGGGCAGAAGACAAAAGAATAAAATATACTTTGAAAGAGTAGCTTACATGGTCCTATAAAACCATTCTAATTCTAAACAATAGACAAGAAAAATAAGTCTACAGCTACATTTACATGGACATTTTTGGGTAGGATTACCCAGTTCATACTTCTGAAAATAAAAACAATTTTAGTAAGTCTACTAAGAAAACTGCTCTCTTTACAGCAAAGATAACTGACTAATAGGATTTTTCCATGGCATATAGGTTTGAATACCGAAATTCAGAGCAGGTTTCACTTTGACTCAAAAATAGAATTCTTAATCAAATATATTACTGAGCTATACAAATATGTCTATAGTCAGATTCACGGTCAAAAGGTGACTGAAATTTGTGTTTTCAAAGGTTGTTGTCAGATATAGGGCTTTATACATTTATATTTATATATTAATCGTAAGTTATGCCAACATGGATGGCTTTAAGAAACAATTAGAAAACTTGCATGGGCTCAAGTATGAACCATTAGTGTAAGAATGCAAGTGGAGATGGCATAATGTGAAGAAAAGTGATGTTATTTTAGCAATGATATCTTCAACTCCTTATTTTCCCACATGGTACTAACAGCTCATCATTTCCAAAAGTCACATGGACTCTTTTGCTGATGACCTAAAGAACAAATGTCCTTAAGAAATTGTGATGGTTAAAAAAAATGTGAAGTAGGCTTAATCTAAGACTAAACTCTGCATTCAAGTTTAGTAAAAACTCGTCATTTCCAAAAGCACATGGACTCTTTTGCTACTGACAAAGAAGCTTAAAAAAAAAAAAGACACAGAGAATTTAGCTGAGGACTTAAAATAAAAGAGCAACTGCCAAGTAGCAATAGAGAAAAAGAGGACAAGTTCAAGTGAGGAGGTTCTCCAAATGACCTAAAGTTGTACCCATGTCTCTACAGAAACAAGCTGGCAGAGGACAGAGCACCATCATTTACCTGTGGTGTCCAGGTGAGGGAATAAGCAAAGGTCATGAGGTATTTTCTCAACAGGCACTGTGGATGGCAATCTGTAGACAGAGACAATAAAAATGATCAGAAATCACACACTTTAGAAGACACTAGTAAATTGCAAAGGTTTTCCTAACTTCAAATGACTACTGAATAAAAAAACATGAGCCAAGCAGAATCCAGTAAGATAGGGTGATCACATGTGGAGCAAAGTCAGTAAGAACAGCAGAGCTCACAGACAACAGCAGTTCTCAAATTCTCGTAAGGACATGATGAAGCACGTGGGGCAACTGCCCCTTGCCTAACTTGTCCTGCAGATTGCTGCCAGGTCGGCCCCTTGTCGCAGAACTGTGATAATATCCTTAATTACAACGTAGACATGAAGAAACAGTAACTGGCATTTAATTATAGTCAGGCTTCACACCACCGCCTACTTTCTGCTGACCTCTGATTTCTGGTGTCTGTGCAGGGAATCTGCCTTCAAGGAACAGAGGGACCTTCAAGGAAACCCCTCAAATGTCCTTAAGAAATTGTGATGGTTAAAAAAAAAAAAAGTGAAGTAGGCTTCGTCTAAGACTAAACTCTGTGTTCAAGTTTAGTAAAAAAAATTGTGGAATCAAAATGAAAGGCAAAATGTAGCTCAGGGAAACACAGTGAACTGGGCTTCACGGGGGTATAGGTTGGCTGTGCAGGAGCCACCCGGGACAAATGTAAGGCCAACTCAAAATAAACCATTCTGAGAGAGCCTCAAGGGGTCTGTAGCCTGGTTCCCAGAGTGGGGTTCCCTAAGCTGGCAAGTCAGCATCACCCAGGAACTTGTCAGATGTGGAAGTGCTTGGGCCCCCCTGCAGACGACCTGAATCAGGAGGCCAGTATCTGTTCTAGCAAGCTGTCTAGCTGCTGGTGCGCGTAAAGAGTGGAGAATTGCTGGCCGCGAGAACGCCATCTTAAGAGTTGTAGTGCAAATGTATGTGGATTCGGTTATAGAACTATGACTTTATTATTTACTCTCTCTATTCCAAAGTGATCCAGGTAAAATTAGGTTTAAATTACTAACCTGATACCCTGTGTTTAGCAATGAATGTGCCAAAAATCCCCACGAAACTGTTATTCCCATTCAAACAGCAATGCAGGTATTATTTTATTTTTTTTAGATTTAACTTTTCGTGGCAGATGAAGTGCTGCTTTGCCATTCCCTTTCCATCAGTGTATTTTTATGAAGAAAACAGAATGAGTTGGCAAGAGATGCATGTACTGGATTTTCAATCTTTTTCACACATAGAAATGTTACCAACAGCTACAATTTCCTAAAACCATAGGTGCTTACAGGTACACCCTCTGCCTGAACACCCTCTTTCTCACAAGACCACGTCTGAAACACTGGGTAAATGAGGTGTATTCAACAGCGTAGGGTCCACAAATTTTTTCACATGGAATCTAATGTAACCGTCATTAAAATCCGGAGAAAATAGTTAATTTACAAATAAGTGCTGGGAAGCGCCGAGCCACCAGGCCCAGGAACTGGGCACTTCTGCATCACCCTGGGCACTGTTATCCAGTTGTAAGCCTGGACTATCTTTTGGGTATGTTGACAAGGGATGAAACGGAAATTACACTCTGAAGTATGAACCCTTTAGAAGCAGGCCCTGGGTCTTGCACATAGTAGGTGCACAATAAATCACAATGGATATATTTTATTGTCATTCTCAATATTGAACATAACTCTCTTATAAAACAGCCATGTTTCCCATCCTCCACAAAGACACTCCAAAATATATCATGTAGTTACTGAAACAAGAACAACCATAAAACTTACTGTTTCTCTGGCTGCACAACTGCAATCTTTCTTTTCTTTTGTGCTGCAAAATAAGCAGAGAAAAAAATAGGCTTTGTTAGTCGGTCATTTTAAAAAATAGCTTAGTGTGAAATGATGTCTGTTTTAAAGTAGCAATTTGAATACTTAAAAATTTGAATACTGAGAAGTTACTTCATTCGTGTCACAACTTTAAGTATCATCCAGAATAAAATGGTCTGTGATTCGTCAGAAGTGAGGCCTCAATAAAATTTAGCACATTAAAGTTTATCACTGCATTGGCTACTTTATTTTCAAAAAGTGTTTTTAATAGACAGAAAAAGAGCAGACATACAAGAATACAAGTTAAGGTAGTTAGTATGATTCTGCAGAATATTTTTCCCCCCCCAGAAAGTATGTTAAGTCAAATGTTACCAAAATAACATACTCCAGAGTTAGGGTTCATGGCATGTTTTAGACTAAAATAACTTATTACTGAAAAGAGTATTGATACCTAGCAAATACGCCCATCAAATATTGACAATAGACAGCATCTAGCACTATTTTTAAATAAAACATCTCTACCACATAATTAACACTGATTAGAATCACCACAAAGACCAGTCTTTTTGACATCTATTAATTTGACACATAGTTCTGTACCTCCTGATGTTTAAGTATAAATTAATTCTAACAAAATGATAGAGATTATTGGGTTTAGTTTAGAGCTTGCCTCTGTAAAAAAGCAAAATGCCTGATAAGAAATGAAAACAAGAATAAATAATGAATATCTATCATGCAGCTTTACTTAGTATTAAATTCCAGTCATAAGCATGACATGCTATAAACTTTGTGCTCTCTAAGGTGAAAATGAGAATAAAATAACTTATTTAACAGTCTTTGTAACCGGTGTGGAGATGCTGAGCTGTAAGGAGCAGGGCATAATCAGTGTGCAAAGAGAAAGCCAAAAAGTGGCAGTATTTTTAAGGCAAAAACAAGATGTCCTTGAAACTGAAACAATTAGTTTAAGTTCAAAATTTCAGAAGCATCTTAAAGATTCACTGAATACCGGAGTGTGAGAAAGGAGAAGCCTTTCAAATCCAGAGTCTCTACGCTTAACTACCTACAGAAACTACCTACAGAAAAAGCCCATCTGACTCTTAATAAGGAAGGCATAGATGCAAGGGCCCTTCGGAATCTGGGACTGGACACCAGGGGCTGGGAAAGTAACCATGGAATGGAATTTTCTTTGGAGCAAAGTTCAACGCATCTACATAAACAGATAGCACATAATAGGATACTGCAGAGAGTGATAAAAACTCTATAAAGAGTATTAGGAATATAATATAGTTCACAAAAAAATTAAGAATCCCCTCATCTTTTGGGACCCACAATATTAAATAACATTTTTGATACACCTTAAGGTGGGAAGGATAAATGTCAAAAATTAAGTTTGAAGATATTTAAATTGTTATCACTTCATAATTGCAATAGCATGCTAAAAAAAACCTGTTGTATGTGTTTTATATGTTGTAAGTATGTGTAAGTGTGATTTTTTTTCTGGTTTGTTTAACTATTAGCATTGTTTTAATTTAGTATTTTGTGATCAGAAGAAGATGTTTTAATACATGGTTGAATCTTACCAATTAATTATTGCTAAGAGTAGATAAAGTGTTAAAATATCAGTAAATTATTGATACCAGTTATAATTATTTGGAGGTAAACTTGATGAGAAAAATTTAGCTTTTTCAGAGACATAACACAAAATTACACTATTCACCTTACTTTTTTTTCTGACCAAACTAGTGAATTTCATAGGAAATTGGAATGAAAAAATCTAGACATTTTCTCACTGTCTCTATGTGACCTTTAATAGTCTCATCACTATAGTTTAAGTTTGCCAACCTGTGAAATGCTTCCAAATACCCATCTTGGGTAGACTTGATGGAACCAAGATGAGAAAATACTGGTGCTCTATGGAACATCTAAATGTGTTTTTGGCTTCTACAAATACATATCTTTACAAAACTGCCTATTTATTCCCTCAAATCCCAGATGTTATCCACTTCAGCTCCAATCCACAGGGCACTTACAGACAGTTTTGTGTGGTGTGGTCAAAGGGTAAGAATTCGCTTCACACCAGCCCACTGGAAAGATATCCATTGATTCCACATCAACAATGAACTCTGGAATTGGAGTCTGCAGACCTGTGTTCGAAAAAGTTAATTTATAGTTACAAACAGGCTTTACCAACAAAGACAGAGTGCAAACCTGAGGGAGAGAAAAGACCCTCCTAAATATGTAAAAATGATGACAATCTTATAGAAGATATAAACGCCTGGAATATCGATCAGCAAGAGTTCAAGGGAGTGTAAATTAAAGGGGAGTTTGGAAAAAGGAAACACTTCTTCTAAAACAGGAAGGGGGGGGGGTCCAGAAACAACTAGCTTCAGACCCAAAAAATAGGAAGAGAAAGGGAATATCCTGCCATCTTCAAAATAGTTTTGCAATTAAGGAAATGTGGCCAACCTTGGGGTGTGGACCCTGGTGTCTTCACCCACCAGCAGCAAGTAAAGGAAATGAAACATTAGTTGAAAGAATGAAAAAGACTATACCACCACTTGTGAGCAGTGGACACAGAGAACAAGTCTCTAGAAAATTTAGTCATTTATTAGCTTATTGGAGTTACTTATTTTGAACTCAATGGGGATCTTTTGCCATGTCACACAAATGTCAATATGCAGTAGTATCTTTGCAGTGGAGATTGCTTAACTATCACATCCTGTTTCTTAATCATAATGATGCCTTGCGGTAAGTCAAGGGGGAGATTTTAAAAAAGAGAAAATCATAAGCAGAAGTTTCAAGGACCCCTGGCTACTGAGAGAACAGCAAAGTAGAAAAAAGAAAATTCTACAATGAAGGAATAGTTCTTTAAAAAAAAAAAAAAAAAGCATAGGCCCTCTCTGGTGGCATAGTGGGTTAAAGCACAGCACTGCAAGCAAGCCAAGCTTCAGTGGAGTTCGATCCCCAGCCTCAGAGGTGATCACCATTGCTCCAGCAGACCTCTCTTGACCCGCCAGCTGCTCCCCTCAGCAGTGTACTTCCTTGAGCTTCCTATTCTGCTCCCCACTCAGTCTCTGGTGAATCCTCTCACCCCTCTGCACCTCTGGCCTGAACCCCAGGTCTGTATGAATAAATAAACAAATCTTAAAATAAAATATGCATACACTTTTAGGGAAGATACTCTAAACCAAGAATCAAAGTAAGAGCTCTACAAATAGAGAGGGAGGCAATGGCTCTGAACACTTCATCAGCTTTGATTTGGTTTCTTCACTGAGAACCAAGGAAAAGAACACAGTTGATCTCTATTACCCAGCCATGTCATCAAATTACATCTGATGGATTTTTTAAAAAGATGTATTTATTGGCCCTCCCAGGTGGCGGGCTAAAGCACAGCATTGAGAAGCTAAAGCCACTTCCTCATGAGTTCGATTCCCGCCTACCCCAGAGGTGACCACATGGCATGGCAGACCTCTCCTGACCCGCCCGCTGCTCCCGCTGCTCAGCAGTGTACTTCGTCGATCTGCCTGTTCTGTTCCCCACTCTGTCTCTGGTGAAGCCTCTCACCCTCCGCATCTCTGGCCTGTACCCCAGTTC